ATGTTCGAATACGGATTGTAACTGATTATGTTGTCGTGAATGATGAGACAGTAGGCGGCTGTATTAGCAGCAATATTGTTTCTTGTCTGAAACTCAATGCGTATGTCGATGATGCTTTTCTTGAGCGCTTCATTTTGACGTGAGCAATCGATGATTATGATTGGTGCATTAGTTCCATACTCTTCATACGTCAACAGCGGAACAGCAGTATGCGGTGCGCGGTCATGATAATATGTTTCTTGGAATCGACAGTACATGTCATAAAGAACAGCATATTGGTTGTTGGCAAAATTAACATTCAAGTTTTCGTAGGGGTAAGACTCTGAATTCAGGTACACTTTTAAATCGCTCAGAGCACAGTGATCATAGCGACTCTTATCAGCCCCAATACGGTTGTTGCGGTTCGTTTGGAATGCCACCATTATGTATCTGGGTGTATTCAATGATGAACTAGCTTTCACACTCCAAATGTGATTATTTGTGGTTGGTAGTACTGGATATTCGAAGAGCTCCCATGTGCGAAAGTGTAGGAGAATCGGTTGCTGTCGATCAAGCACTTTGAGCAGCTTTATCTTGGCTGCGTCTGCTACGTTGATGTGCGGAATGCGCCACTGAATCTTATCAATTTGGATTGTAGAAAGATCATTGGCACCAACAAAACAATTGATGTCAGATCGACTGCGCAGCAAAATCAACTCATGTTTTGCATTCATTATGATGTTGCGGTAGTCTTCGGCAAATCCGAAAATGCTTTTTAGTGGTATACAGAAATTTATATATCCAGCGCTGCCTGGTTGGTTTGATTCTTTCTTCCATCCGGCCATATGTAATCGATTCATGCTGGATGGTTTATATGATGCGTACCCTTTGAGTGTTGATGTGATACCAACATTTTTGCAACAATCAATTGGGAATCCATTGAGTTCGTAGCGTATTTCATCAAACAGAAAACCGGCTGCATTATTTACGAAATTTGGTACTTCCCTTGCTGCCGCTTCAGCGCCAGCAGCTGCTGTAGCTACCAAAACTCTTCCTTCAATGTAGATGTAACTTTCATGCGGCAATACATAGAGATCTTGATGTTGGATCACTATGCGGATCTCATCGTTGTTGTTGAATGAATTTGTGTATGGATTGTATGCATGGTGTTGTATGCTTGTGATTGCCTCTTCAGCCCCAATTGCGTTATGTAAATTTAGAATTTCATCACCCATGTTTGTGCCTGTTTGTACCTGTTTCAACTGGTTTTCACTTTGTTTTTATTTGATTTTTGTTTATTCTTTAGTATGTACACTGTTTATTTTTTATTTCTTTCGCGTCATTAAACCAAGCGCATTAAGAAATTGTTTATTCACTCTATTTAGTGATTTGCCTTTTTTGTCAGCTTTACCTTTTGTGGACGATGTTTTCGCTTTGGCATGCCTTTTGACACTGTCTTTATTTTTGACAGGCACCGTACTTTTGTGTTTATGGTGATTATTGTTATTATTGTAGATAATCATTGTTGTTGTGTTTAATGCTTAATTTTTTTTATATGCAATCGAATGGTGATGGTTTCACCACGGAAATTAATCAATTGACTGTGTTGATCCACTACACTGAGATCAATTCTCTGTATGTTCTTCACAGTGATAGGGAAATAAATGACGTTTTGAGGTACTTCAATGATCTTATATCCAGGTGGCACTTTCGGTGAAAATTCGTGTATGGTATGTGATGGTTGATTGTTCAAATAAGATCCTGTGATGATATTACACTCGACACGTATCACATTTACTTTCAAAATGTTAGCCGGAAGTTGTGACTCATGCGTTTTATATGCTTCCAATACCTGATCGTCGCGAAATCCCAACAATGGACCAATTGTGTTTGGTTTAGAAAAATCGACTGGTTGATTGCAGTATAGTTCACACTGCAATGTATTATTGTTTGCGTATAATGCCAGTTTGGCCCCTGCCTGTTCTACACGTTTTTTCAAGTGTTGTGCCAAATGGTCCAACTCGTAAGATCCGGTCGGTATTTTGATGTTCGTTAATGGTAATGGTTGATGTTGTGATTTATAGCTAACTGCTCTCCTTTTCCTTGTTCCACTTTGTTTATCTTCTGGAAGCGATGATTTTTCTTCTCTTTCTACACTGTACTCATACTGACTGTTATTGATATCGTTGCTATCTCCAATCACTTCAACGGAATTTAATGCACGTATGTTAAGTAGCTCGCCTTTATTATTGTTGTCATCTCCACTATGTGTAAGGTTGGCATAACCGAAATAGAACAAACTGTTTGTTTCGTCAATGTTTGGAATTGAATTGAACGTTTGGAAATCGATGAGGCCACACACGTACTCTTCTCCGTCACTTAAATCGATAGCTGGGCAATATTGTGCAGTTAAATTTGATGAATCACCCGTCAATGTTAATGTGATCGACGACATGGTTTATGCAGGAATGAACAAGAAAATATGTACAGTTTATCCTTATACATATACAATTTATTGCCTTCTCTTTCTGTTCAATTTTCGTTTATTGCTTTCTCTTTTTATCTTTTATTGGTGAATGATGAAATTAAGAGATGAGTCATACGATATGATTAATTTATTGCGCAATATTGTGCGGTAAGATTCAAATGAATCATCCGTCAATGTTGACAACATGTTTTGTGCAGGAATGAACAAGAAAATATGTGCAGTTTCCCTTTATACATATATAATATGATTATATATTGCCTTCTCTTTCTATCTTTATCTATTGTTTTCTCTTTCGATCTTTACAATTTAAGAGATGAGTTATATGATGTAATACGATAAATTTATTGCGTAATGTTGTTTATTTTTCATCAGAAGTTATTATAAACAAAAATTTTAGGCATAAGTGCCCACAAATGATTGAATCATATTTCTGGTATTGCATATAATTAAAATGAATGTTACAGTTGCGTCCAATGTAGTTTACGAATTCACAAAATGGTTGCAAATCACCGAAGCTGTCGAAGTAAAAACATGTTTTATCATGTTTGAAGTAGCTCACCCAATGTGTCCCAGGGCCATTAATATCATCTAAATTATTTACACCACATTCGCATTTATTACATCGTTTTGGTAGATTATTGCGCATGAAGACACCTCGAAAGTGTGGTAAATATTGTCCAAAGCGTTGTATGTCGATATCGGTGAGTGGCCGCTTGATCTTATCTATTTCATTGATGAGCTGGCTTACAAGTTTTTTTGTTGTTGCAACGGTGGGTTTGGGGTTAAAAAAAGGCCCAGCCCACTTTTATATGGGCGCAAATAAAGACCGGATCCGGTGTTTGAGTTTTTACCAAGTACAATCGCTTCCATGGTCTGATTGTGACGTTGGGCCTCGGCCAAATCTTTCTTTGCACGACTTGCTGATACTGCAGCGTTTGCTATGCTTGCTGAACCACCCATTAGAGCGCCTAGTGCAGAGAGGCCGGCAAATATTGGTATCAATGGTAATGCGGCACCCTGTTTCGGTACCGGAATAACACGTAGCTCTTTCTCCACTTCTAGTGCTGGAATTGGTGGTTGTTTAGTTTTTTTGAAGATCCGACCAACAGCCGTTGTTGCCGCCCTTTCAGCTACTTGTGCTGCTTTATCCACTGTTCGTACACCTTTCTTTTGTATTGCCTCTTTCGCTTTCGCTTTTGCATCCCGAAATATCATTTTTGCGCTCAATTTCTTTATGCTTTTCTTCTTTGTGCTCTTCTTTTTCATTGCTGCTGAACCTCTTTTAGCACCACTGCCACGTTTGCTGTTGCAACCACCCAAACAACCACCCTGATATTTGTGATTGAAAATGCTGGAAATTTTTCTACCTAATCCCATACCCATCGACGTTTTGGTATTCATGATGCCGGAGATTGCAAGTGCAGCTGCTCGTTCTGAAATGCTGGAGTCTGATGCTTTTGCACGTTGCCACGCCTTTTCTGCCAGAATTTTATCAGCTATGTTACGTTCACCAGTTCTTTTGAATTTGGAATAGGCAATATCGTGTTCTTTGCAGGCTCGGTCCAATTCATTAATGCCTGGATCATTTCGAGCAAGGCGCTCTCGAAGTTTCGTTCCAGGGCCACAGTATTGGTAGCCCGGAATATGCATTTCGAATGGGATATGCTTTACTGCCCAATTCACAACACCTTTTCCACGAACTTTTTTCTTCGTCATCGCCATTTTGCTGGAACCACGCTTCAATGACTCACTTCTATGACTCATCATTTTTTTATTACGCAATAAAAACAAAATATTGCGCAATATCAATTATTCTGTGTGTTTTTTGTTTGTTTCTAGAACAATGTATGATGGAAAAACTTATAAGCATGTGTGCTTCGTTTGACAGCTCTTCAGTCACTAATGGTTGTTTAAAATAGAAGGAACGATCTTCGTGATTCACACGGGGAAATGCATTCAATCAAAGTAATAAAACAACGGGCTACATTGCCCATAAGTAATGTGGAGATTCAGGGTCAAGGGTGTAGTGGTGACCAACAACGAGAGAAAGAATATCACCGGCATAGTGTGTTGTTACCAAACAGTATTCGTTGCATAATATGTGGACCATCAAATTGTGGCAAAACAAACATCATCATGAACTTATTGGAAAGCTCGAATGGACTACGATTCGAGAATGTTTATGTGTACTCAAAATCATTATTTCAACCAAAGTACCAACGATTATACATGATCTTATCATCCATTAAAGGCATCGGCATCTACATGTTTTCATCAAATGATGACGTCATTCCGTTGAAAGATGTTAAACCGAATTCGGTGTTTATATTCGACGACGTGGTGTTTGATAAGCAGAACAACATTCGAGAGTATTTTTGCATGTGCCGACACAAAAATGTTGATTGTTTTTATTTGATCCAGAGTTATGCACACATACCAAAGCATTTGATTCGAGAAAATGCCAATTTAGTGGTGCTATTCAAACAGGATGACATGAACCTGAAGCATATCTATAATGATTTCAGTGTTTCAATGGACATGACATTTGATGCGTTCAAAGAAATCTGTCAACAATGTTGGAAGGAAAAATATGGATTCTTGGTGATTGACATTGAACGCACTCCAAAAAACGGAAAATATCGTTTACAATTTGACAAGTTTATTTCTATAACATCAACATCACATGCCCAGTATAACCATTAAATAGACATACTTTACATTGTATGTATTAGTGTACATTTGTATGTGAGCGTACTCACAAGTACCAGTACAATAGATATAAAGGAAAACAAAATGAGTCATCATGCAGAAGTCAAAAAAAATTGACGACCTAAAAGAAGAAATGGAACTAAAGCAATCCCTCATCAAAACAAGGAATGCAATACGAAAAAAGTTTCATAATTTACATAGTGAAAAGCAATCAACTAGAGAACGGATCAGTGAAAAATATCAACCGATAATTGAACCAATCAAAAGCTTAGCTACTGAAAAGGAACACAATATAGAAGCTGAAACACCGGAATTTAAATTCAAAGATGAGTCAGGGTCTATTTTTCAAACAGCTTTCCCAGCTTACCGAAGAAGATTGTTTGCCGCAACACCCAAAGCATCAACATCGAAGAAGACACGACCGTCCTCACAGGATATTAGTGGTTCCCAAAACATTAGTGCTAATGATAGCTCATTTAGGTATATTTCCAATAACGATGATGATGATTCTGACTATGACGATACTGTGGAAAATCAAATTCATGGGCAAGTGAAACAAATCAGTTCAGCACAAAAAGATAATATTTACGGCCTTCGAACACATAAGGATAATCTGTATATGGGAAAAGAACCAGTTACTGTCAAGACGGTGAATTCACAAATGAAATACTCTATTCGAAGGCGAATGTTCCCAGTAACGCCGGGTTTAACCGATCTGTTGCTAATGAAAAATCCAAAATACTATTCTGACCAGGATTTGGCAACATACAAAGAAATGCTGATGTATACAAGCGCACATAAAAAAAATTACCGAAAAAATGAAGACATTCGAAGAGATGAATCATCAAATAAATACAAAAATATAATCTCAAAGCTGTTTCCCGCAAAGACAAACAAAAGAAAATCAACATTAAAAAGTAAAAGAGCAAATGAGAATGATACGTTAGAAGGAGAAGGATTAAAATGGTGGCAGCAACAACAACTAGAAAAACCACAAACAGCATACAAAACGTTCAACAGATCAGACATATTCGATTA